CACATTACTCAAATTTGTAAAAGCAATTTTTCTTGTTAACACGTTGACGACAGTGCCGCGCAATGGTGCGCGGCAGGCAGTCTGTCCCTGTGGACGACGCCGCGCAATGGTGCGTGGTGGCCTTAAATTCAATACTATCTGTCCAATCCTCTCAGTTTTTGTTCATATAACCAACATAGGCTCAGATGTACTTCATGTATTAGCCCCGCCCCTTTTGGCAAACTCCGCCCACATTTATGCCTCTCACAAGGATCCTTTTTGTCCACAAAAACCATGGATGAGGCTGTAGATGAACGCAAAGACTTCAAGCAACTCCTAGCCAAGCCCCGCCCACCGTCAGGCAAGCCCCGCCCCCTGTGTGGCAAGCTCCACCTTACTTTTCGAAAGTGGCAGAAATCGCATAAATTCTTGAAATTTGGGCAATTTCCGACATTTTTGATCGAGTGGGCAGAGCTTGCCAGAGGGGGCGGAGCTTGCACATTTTGTACTTCGTGCATGGATGCATGCATACATACATGGGCCACGCGTAGGGATGCATGGAAACGTCTCGTCCACAGGGACAGACCGCAAAAAAATGGCTCGTCGTCAACGTGTTAAAGGAAGCCTTCAAACTGTTGGCGATTATCACTGCCGCGGCACGCAGGTAGTCATTATCAAATTCCTACGCCTTTACGGGAATAATACCTATGCTTAGAAAGTGTGCGGCATGATAGAGCAAGCTCCCAGCTACAATATATTTTAAAGAATTTTTTTGCAAAATTTAGAATTGAAATTATAGGAATTTTAATGCAGGCATGCATAGACCTCACGCTGGAGATTTTGTACACACTTGCGGGAAAACAAAACAGAAAATCGGCTACGAAGTGTTTTGAAACCTAGTTCGTCTTCCAAGTTGAACTATAATCTCATCTAGAAGTCATATGAAGAGTATACTAATTCCGATCCATGACTGCTTCAGCTCTACATGTTCAAAATCTTACTTTCAAGGCACGTGGCACGCACTCAATCGATATTGAATAGATTTTTGAGTGCAGCTACTACAGCGATAATGGTGCAAAGCCGCCTCTACAATGTGGACCTCAAATTGTACCAGAATATTCCAGATACTTCAAGCTGCCAAATAAATTACAAACCCGAGAAAATAGATTTCTGCGGCTTTCAGAAAGTCATGATAAAATAAATGTTTTTTCAAAAACATGTGGAAATCATTCCGGCCTTGCAAAAATGTATTTTGTAAGGGATGATTGCAGCATTCTTTGACATGAATTTGGAATCGAAACTACCGGTAATTCATAAGTTATAGCGATGCAAACTTAGGCTACAAGACTTTGGGGACACCCTGTAACATCATTCCTTCCCTCACAATATCCAAAAAATTGAATCACTCGAAACTCTATATTCCCCACGTCATTTATTTACCATATTAACAAGCAAGTAACCCTATCTCTTGGGACACACATTACCACGAGATCAGAGCTAATTGCCGAAGGGAACTGCAAACTCCCATGGGAATTTAAGCGCAGCAAAAGGAAATTGCCTCAAACTTCCAACTTTCTTCTTAGTCTTTCCCTTTCCCATGCAACTTTTCATTACATCTTGTGTTTTTTAGAATCTTAGCATTGAGGGCCAACAATCTGTGTCCACTTCTTGAAGCCCATACTTGAGGTGAAAACAAATGTTAATCAGACTAAAGCTAGTGGCCCCCGAGAATGTCTGCATTATCAAGTTGGACAGGAGACAAAAACAAGAGCAATGACGAATGGCAAACATTACGAATTAATAGAAGCGTCGTGAAAAAAGTAAGAATGCAGACATGAGCTCGTATCTGCTTGAATTTGCTGGAGTCTGTTTTATACAGTGTTTGGTTTCATTTTTTCAAAATGGAAATCACAAAGAATTTCTCCAAAAAACTATAACAATAGGATGGAACACAAGTCATAGTGAATCCGTGCAAGTAACAGGCCTTTTTCTTGGCTTATACTCGAATCGATGGCTTACAAGGATTACGGCGCATCGAAGTAGTTTATGTCCCAAAACTTATTGCTCTTCTTAAGCTCTTCATTACAGAGCTTCCGGGGGAAGAAATCAAAAATTCTCCTCCTGACCATACTTAAGTGAATAGATAGTCCAAGTTTCAGTTGTCCAATGGTTTGATGATCTAGCAGTAGAAGTTCACTGATAATTAAACTAGGTCATTGCTAACAAAATCATGCATAAAATAGTTATTTGATACTTATAGAAGTGGAAGATACAGAATTTTGCATATTGCAAAAACGGCAATCCCAATTCTCTCTTTTATTTTTTGTGAAAACGCTGACATGGGGCCGAGCCAATAGGCGTGCACAACAGCTCAATTACAACTTTTTCAAATCTTTCTCAAGGAGTTTCGCTTACTCCAATTCGGGATTCAAACTGAAAAAGGTTTGACGTGTTTACACTGAGCACTCCTTTAAATTTCGCGAGAACTCGAAATTGCCAAAGGTGACCAAGCCATTCATCGAAGCGATGTTTTGAGATTGTTCAGAGAGCAATCCAAAAGTTATCATAAAATGAAAATTTGCGCAAAACCTGATGATTTTGAAACAACCCAATGTAAATTCCTAGTGTTGCTATGGGCAATACAGCTGGATATTTGAAAATTTAAGTGTAACTCAACCCCTCTTTGAATACTCGGAACCATCTTGTCCACATATGAATTCGATGTCAACAAATCTGTAGTTTATAAAAATTGCTTTGGTGCGTATTTTTGGAATATTTTCTCAGGAATTGCGCTAAATTTTCAAAACTCTTCATAGTAGTCTTGTTGATAAAAAATTTTTCTTCATGTCAGTTACGGTTGAATATATTGTGATACAGACTAGGCGTTTGGAAAAAGTTTTATCAATACATATAGGGCCTCTTTTATCTCATTGGCGTTATCATTATTAGGCTAAGGGCATACCTTACGCGATTTCAGTCGCGCCGCGATTTGGCAGTACTCCAATTGTGCATAACTCATCGTAGGGGGTTTCTAAATGTACGAAATATAGGGCATTTTATCAACTTACCAAAACTAAATATGCTGTGCTTTGGGGTCTGCCAGTATTGAATTTGAAGGTATCTGCCAAATTGCCAGATCGCGTGGCGACTGAAATCGCGTGAGGTATGCCCTTAGCCTTACCCTAATTTCACGCGTATAAGGCGCCCTTTTTCGAATTTTCAAGCGAGCCGCTCAGCCGCTTCACTGTATTCCGGAAAGAAATCTTTATACCGCACGATTCTCTTAAGCTATATACGGCACATAGGATCCTCTGGTTGTAAAGTCCTTTGGCTTGTCTGAGCTGGTCAATGGAAAAAAATCCCCCGCGCCTTATACTCGTGAAATTAGGGTAAATGTGTGTTTTCAATTAGCGAGGATTGCAAATTTTGAGCCAATAAGACTGTATCTAACTGAGATGCTAACATAAAAGATGTACAACAACTCTACAGATTTGCTTGAGAGAAGAGACAGAACAAGAAATATCAAATTGCTACGAAAGAAAGCAAGCGAAGAGATCCATGGAGGGCATTGGATGGATGCACAGGCGAATCTTAAGAGAAAATTCTGTGAGAGGTGTATATAGTTCTCGAATTTGTACACAATGGCTCTTATGAAACGAGATACATATGCAGTGATCCCTTTTTTGCGCTGGTAAACAAGAACACTCAATTCTGATCATGTTCCGTAAACATATCATTACTTGGTAAGCAATGAATTGCCATAGTAAAATAGCCGGAAGATCTGAAGGTTATACGTGGATATCTCTAGACATGATGAATCTTTCGGATGTAGTCGGATGAAGAATGTTCTCAGCGGTGCACAATATGAGCTATTAACCGCTTTGTTTAGTAAACAACTTCCCTGAAAACCTAGCTTTCCAGATTATATGCTGATGTTCGTCTTGAACTGATGCTCACGGAAGGGTTCGTTTGAAGTTTAACAACAGTGAACATAAGGTGCTCAACGCAGCAATCTCTGTTTCCAAATTCTCCTTCATTTGTAATCCCTCTTTTACGATAACTGTTACTTTTCCATAAGTTTGAATATTGCTACTTTCCCGCATTTTATTAGTGACCTACGAACAACACATCTACAGAAAGGTTTGCTACATCGATAAATGAGAAGCGATTTCGGTTTTGACGATTTTTGTTTCAATCCTCATACGATTTCGAATACTAATCGAGTCTGAGTGTAGCTACCAAAGAGAGGCATTTCATTAGGATGACGGAAGTCCGTGAGTGTTTGCTGTCCACAAAGTTCACAAACTTCGCTCTTAAATGAATTGAAGGCCCCAAATGATGATGACTCGCTCTTTTCTTTCGTCAAGGAAGATGGAATCAGAGGTTTTTGAAGCACTATTGACGTAAGAGTAGTCAATATTCAAACTTTTTGCTAAAAGCCGGAAAATTTCTCCATTCAGAATTATATAATAGAATGACGACCATTTTTCTGCAATGAGATACGTTACCGATAAACTATGCAAATTTATGCGCACATACTTATTGCTCGTTTCGGGACCTACATAGAGTGCTCTCTGCTTGAATGTTGTCAAATAGAATGACAAATGATGTAAAAGTTGGAAGAGAATACTTTGGAAATGAAAAGGACTTTCAATTTATCACTTTATAAGTCCACATTCGCTACTGCGTAGGCTGAATACTAAACATTGTAGACTGCCCATTTAATTAGACGATTTCGATTTTTTGACTTTTTGAGCCTGATGAGCTGAGCATCAAAAGCTTCAGAGTCAAGCGAATGACGTCATAACATGACTAACTCCCTATTTTCTGGGCGAGAAGTCCCTTCTAGTCATTGAGCCTGATTCCATTTCCCTAAAAATCTTCACTGACATTCTTCCGTGTTCTCATCACTTCAAATAGCTCAACAAAAAAAGTTGCCCTTGCATCCTTGATGCCTGCAGGCATACTCATAGATCCATTTGAAAGACAAATAAATAAGAAATCAATTCGAAAAAACTCACTTTCTTGCTGGTCTTCTTTATCCAATCTAAACGCATAGCTTCTTGCGTTTGATTTTCTTTCAGCTTTCGTTCGTCATTCTCTTTTCTGAAAGAATAAAAATGAGATAATGTGCACACGCATTGGCTGGAACAATAGAGTTTCGGAAAATTGGGCCATTGTTTGAAATCTTTCATGATTTCCATAGAAACTGGTTCATAAAATTTTTTATGGCCCTCTAGGGGTTGGGCAGAAGATATTGAAAAAGAGTCGAGGCTGATTCCTTCATTTGGATCATAACTAAAGCATAGTTTAGGAACAAGGAACGCTAGAGTAGCAGAGATCTCGCAGAATACCACGCAAAAAAATAAATTCGTTGTGCCGTTAAAAAATGAGAGATGCAAACTTTGGTATTGAATTGATTTATTTTTGTTTATCAATGTTTATCAAATCTCACCTTGAAAATTACATTCAAGATTTCATTCAAAAAGAGAAGAAAGTTTGATTTCTAATCATGCAAAAAGAATAATTTTATGGATTTTCTTACTCTTCAGCAATAGTAATGGATCTCTAGGGTATACGCAGAAAATAAATTGGAAAAAAATTGAGACAAATTACTTTCACTTGAATATATCGAAGTAGCTAAATTCACAACGATCAACGCTGAAGTAGGAGGAAACTGGCAGAACTCCAAAAAAAAATAGATTTGTTGTACCGTCAAGAAATGAAAGATGCAAATTTTCAGTGCTGAATTCTTTGGATTTTGCTCGCTGGATAAATCTTCTGGAGACTACGATTCAAATTATCGGTCTTTCAAAAATTAGAGAAATTATGGTTTCTATCTATACACGAAATCTTTATGGATCTTTTTATTCTTCAAAATTTTATGTCTGTAGGTTAAGCAGAAGATAAACTGAAAAGAAAACTAAGGTGGATTTTTTGTTTGAAGCATATGAAGTCAAGCAATTAGTTTAGAAACGATATGGGCTAGAAATACAGGAAAACGATAGATCTGTTCTATCGTCAAAAAATGAGAGGTGCAGAATTTTTGGTGCTGATTGATTTTTATTCAACAAATGAAATCTCACTGTGGCTACTGCGAAGTAAGTTATGGTTGTGTTAAAGGGGAATAAATATGGTTCCTACTTATAGAAAAAACAATAACAAAGGTCAATGGCGCGTTACTTCGCTACTCCCGAAGCCAGATGAAGGAAACAATGAGTCCAGCTTTGAGGTGTAGCGCTCAATTTGACCCCCTGTTGGGTGCCTGCTATTCACCAACGACAGCTGAGTATTGTCAGAATCAATGCAGAGAGATGTGAGAAGTTGCCTTGGGTTGTAAACCTACGAGTAATCGCAGAAAAATCAGGTAAAATAATTTTTATTGTGATCTTGTAACAATATAATCCATTAAAAATCCAAGAAACGGCTTCCATGAATACCTGAATAAGTGTTGCTTGAGATTGCTTAGCAGTATTGCTTAGCGGTTTCTTTCAAGATTTAGTGTTTTTTCTTTTTCTTTTTACCGATTATTACTTAATTTTTCTGCTATTTTATGATAGGAGCACTTCTTGTGCTTTTAATAAATAAAATTTATAGAAAGGGTTTTGACGAAAGAAAAGTGTAAAACGAAGAAATTGTAAGGAGAAAAAAACATAAAACCTTTGGCTCGAAAGTCTGTTACACCATTTTTACAAATTTATAAGTTATTTATTTCTCAATAAACTCATTTCCAATTTCTCAATAAGTTATTTATTTTTCAACAAATTTCTTAGCTGTTAACCTTGTTCAAAGGAAATCACTTTTTTAAAAGGTGCTCTGGTGGCTTTTTTGTGCATAGATGGCCTAGATACATAGATGTAAAAGGAAATCACTGGAACTTCTACTTTTCTTATTTTTGCAGTAAAAAAATCTGTTGCGATGAAAATCCGAAAAGTCGATATTATTGGCCTTATTATTTGCTTTTTTAGTTAAAAAAGTTTGCGCGGATTCGTTGTCTCGATGAGAAGTTGGGATCTTCAAGCAAATATTAGAAAACACCAGATTTGAAGTTTTTTGGCTTTTTTCTCGAAAATCATAACTTATCAGAGAAGCAACCATTCGCACATACTTTGTTCACTTTGAAAGAGCTAGTGAAACCCATAATATTGACTGCTCGGATTTTTTGCTAAAAACATCTAATCTTTTATTGGTAAGATATTATGGTGATTCTAGCAAGAAGTTTTTATCACAGCAGAAGATACTTCGGAATTTTTTATACAAACATGACAGAGGAGCTAACCATGTCACATAATAGCTTTTATAACCATACTTGGATCGGCAGTATGAAGCATGATATAGTATGCTGGAGAAATGTTTTGGAAACGCTAAGATTTTTCAAAAAAACTTTTCTGAAGTTGTGTGAGCTTTCATTCTAAGTCGTCCAAGGTATAATCATTTTCATTGTGAGCGAAACTCTAAAAGAAGCTTAGAGGACCAATACCAATCCAAGATGTAAAGTAGCCCCCTTCAGCTCCGTGTAATCTTGTTCCAAAACTATCAAACGACCATTGAACAAGCACTCCCATACATTTTCAGTTATGGACCACACAAGCTGATTGACAGGTGTTGAAGCGAATAACACTTGTTCGTGGTAAAAAAGACTTGCAAACTGTTTCTCATTTTTCTTGGAAGCAAACTCAACGGTTGAAATATCGATAAGTGAGTTATAAATAAATCAGGTCTATACCGCAAATCAAGGAAATGTTTTTATAAATTTCGTATTCAGAACATCTTTTTCTCTGATATATCGTCATTTTCCCATTCTGCAAATCCACAATAAGTTTTGAAACTTTTGAGTCTGCTTACTTATGCAGCCTTATTTCGAAGCCATAAATGGATGGATTATTTCTGAGAAGTTTTTATTCAACTTTAAGCTCCACTAGAAAAGCACTTTTTAAAATTCTATCCGGACTTCATTGCTTCCAGCTCATGACTAGAATTTATTGCTCGTTTCAGTCCTGTGATTGACACTACAAGATGATGAATTTGAAGAGGAAAGCGTTTTGAAAAAAGGTAGCAAGCTCTTTTTTGCGAACCAGCTGGATCCACAGAACACAGAACAAATGCTAATAGGCAGTAAAGTTTGATGAAAACAAATAAATAAGCCATAGATATCATCAAAATCAGTTTACCTGAAAAATCTATAGCAAAAGCAACAGCTGCAGTAGTCCATCGCAAAGCGGTGGAATTGTGCATGAAAATTTCGAAAAGGCTTGTCTGGAGCGATTAAAGGTTTTTGGTCGTGAGAAGTAAGGGGAAGTAATTGTAAGTTGACTAGACTAGGATCTGGACTAGATTTTCTATCGCCTCGCAACGAAAAACCGAAAAATCGAACCCTTAGATATGATGGTGATAGAAAGCTAGGGATCAAACTGCACTTGTATAAAATGTTTTTTTATATAACGCATTTTGCAGGAAATCATCTCCCCGAATCGTTTTCGAAGTGGAAGTATTTATAAAACGTTTTTTTTCTTGAATGAGGTGTGCTTGCAGAAGATCATCTCCCCGAATCATCCAGTAAGTAAATTCTAAGTATCTTACAATGTGTGGGAGCCTTATTTAGCATCTTGCAAAACGATCTTTAAAAAACTTATTTTTTTGACCCTAAGCCGTTTTGAAATCACACTTCGTGGTTTTAACTCTCAAAACCTTCAGTTTACACTCGAGCTCTCTCATCACGCAGTTCAGACTGTTTGAAAAAGCTTCTCAGATTGAGTATGCGGCTCATCAGCGCAGATATTAGCAGAAAAAGAGAATGGGCTTCCCATTTCTCAAAAGAAGAAGGAAGAGAAAGCAATAACCGAATTGCACTTCACATCATCGTCCATCGTCGTCATCATCCGAGTTACTTTGATTTCTAGCAATTTGACAGCCCCAGAAACTTCTGGAGTTGTTCGCCAAAAAGGGTTTTTTTATTATATGAACTGCTTCATTATTCTCAAACACATGAAGAAGGCTTCTTCGTAGTCCAAGCTAAATATGAGAAGAATTTTTCAGTATGTAAAGCAATCCATTCAGACATGGATATTGAATTCAACATGGCTTGATGATAATTATTCGCAACATTATGGCGCCTCGGCAAAATTTTGTCATCGAGTGGTTAGTGTAAAAGTTACGAATCACTCAGCGGTAAAAGGATATCTCAAGAAGTATTTATTATTTTATTTAGAATACCCTTCTTGCTCCTTCTATTCTTCGCCAATCTCAGGAGTCATTCCATAGGGCTGATTTCAATCTAAATTTGCTGTGTGGAGCAGACCACGAATCGCTTTCCGTCACTGTAGGATACGGTAGGTAGTTGAAAAGTTTTTTTGAACATTGCGAATCAATGTCTCAGAACAAAAGAGTTGATATAATTGTTTCACTGTAATCCAGAGAATTAAGAGCAAATAATTAAGAACTGACTATAAGAAGAGCATTGCACATTTCTATAAACTTCATTCGAAAGTAAGGCCAGGTTCACTCAAAATAATGGTAGCACTGTATAAACTGCTTCAGAAGCTTGTCCAAGACAAAAAGTTGCAAATGTTCCGGAAACCGTCCTTGATGCGCGAAAGCGCTAGAATGCAGGAAGTCTCCACCGTAATACTACATAGCGAAAAGCATCCAGCCTTTGCTCTATGCTGTAAAACTAACAAGGGAAGCGTGTATAGTCGAATTGGCCTTTTCAGATGAGACTCATACTGCTTTGGAGAGTATTGCATAGTGATCCTAATTCTGCCTTTATTATTTGAAGCGCCCCGAGTTATAAGCGTTTTTCGAGTCAAGAAATTAAATACAAAGCTGGAGCAAAATCGCCCAAATTTGCTCAAATGGTCCGGTGTCAAGTATCAGAGCAGTTCATGCAATAGAATTTGTCTAATATGCTAATACTTAACATCGATTTATCTGGGCGCTGGAAAGATTGTAACTATCGATTTTACCTAAATTTTGCATTCATTTTTCGCTCCAAAAAACGGTCATAGCTTGCAGTCCAGAGGCGCTTGGCAGATAGTGGAGGCAGATTTGGGACCATCGTGCAATGCTCTTCAAAGTGAGTGTCATTTAGAAACGCCACTTCGATCAAACACACTTCCCTTGTAAGTTGAAATTAACTTTACCTTACGGAATGGTAAATTGCGAGTGATGAGATGTGAAAGAGAAACATTTTAGATCAAAACAGTGGGAACATTCTTTTGAGATATTCCTGTAAACAAAGTTAGCTAAAGCATTCATATTTGAAGGAATGGATTCGAACCGCCTGCTTCCATCTTGGACGGTTTCTCACTCAATGTTCAATAGAACGATAATGAGAAATAAAGTTTTCAATGTAATGTGTAATTAACCAAGAAACTCCGTTTCATTCCGGCCCTTAGACGGACTAAAATAATTTACAGACCTTCCCCGGAACTCCTCAGTAAGGAAGGAAGGTCTGCAAAAACTTCTTTTTACACTGAGAAGTTAGTTCTCAAGAGTATTGAGTATGTATATGAATTTTTTGGATAATAAAGTAATTGTGTAAGTGAAAAAACAATTTTTTGGCTATAGATGTTTATCATACATGATTATATATGTTTATTATATAAAGGTAATGTAGATAGTAAAGGTAATGTTTACTTCGTCAAATCTGTCCTTCTAAGGTAAGCAACCTTTTGATCTCTGGTTTCAGAAAAAAATCTTGTGTGACGAATGTAATTTTAGTTTTTGATTTACCGTAAAATCGTTGTCATCAGCTCCCGAACAAATGCGAGAAAAGCAAATCAGTAGAATTTTAGTTTTTTTCAATGGAAATCTGCACAGCGATTTTAGATGAAGAAGGCAACGGTCACGAAAGCTCTCGTGCAATGTGCGAACTCATTTCCCCTCCATAGCTATTAAGCTTGAAAAAATTCTATCTCAATTTTGATTTTGCTTAATTTAGTGCAAAAGTCCATTACAGTAATTGCAAACACTTTATTTTGTGGTTTTTTACGTGATATTTTGGGCTTGACTCTTTGAATCTGGTCCATGTAAGGCTCTGATTGAGCAGCGAACGCTAGCTTTCCGGCAGAAAAAAATGGTCAGAAAATGCGAAAAAGGCGGAAGGAATTTAAGCACCATCAAAATTTTGCACTACAAATTGGGTCGTAATATAAGATTTGTTACACATAAGAAGGAAGCTGTTGAAATTATTCAGTTTTTTTTTCTTATTCTTAATTTATGTGGAGGGCCTCGCTCCTCGATCACACATATAAAAACAAAATTTCGATCCCGAACCACAGTTTATGAAAAGCCTGAAAGACAAAACATCTCATGGAGAATTTTGCGAAGATTTTGAAAAGGTGATTGAAGAACAGTCAATTTGGCTTTATCTTTACAGTGATCATGTCTCTGAAGGTACAAATAAGGCCAATGGATAGTCCTAGCTTCCTCGCCGCAAAGAAAGGCGAAAAGATTGTTAAAAAGACTTATGTAACGATCCAATATTAGTATTGGGGTAGAATGAATTTATGGAAAACAGAAGTGATACTTTCAGTGGAAATGTTACACCTTCATAAGAATATTTTGATCACGATATTTCTTTTAGGAATGTACCTATTGCACAGAGAGTGCAGCTAACTATTTTATAGCAGCAATGCCTATGTGCATATTCATCAGTGTGAGAAGCATAGGTTTGACAGCCCAAAAAATTCTTGAAGGCATAATTTTCCTACTCAAAAAAGAGTGACGGAAGAGCTGAAGGTGAGGATGGAGAGGTTCGCGAAACTGGCTGTTTGAGAACTGATTAAAAACATTTTAAGGGAACGGAACTCTGCATTCAAGGATGTCACACTCAGGTAAAGGTGTCAGGCTCCGGCGCAATAATGAAGGCCTTCAAAATCAGAATCTATGTACCCAGTATATGGTAAAAGGAGTGAAAAAACGTAGAAGAACATGGATTGAGAATATGATAATCATAATCTTTACTTTTCGTGAACATGGGGAGTCAAAGATGGACTGGTTGGAAGTGGAGATATTACATTTTTCATTTTTCACATTTTTATGAATAAAGATAATAGCTTATGCTTGATGTTTTTTTTTGAGAAGAATTGATTAAGATTAGCATCACTCTCTTCCCTATAACCTGTTCACCACAGCTGTTTGAAATAATTTTTTTGGGAAAGTTTGATGGAACTGCAAAACTATGTAGTCTACCAGAAATTTATGTTCTTGTCGAATCCTACAAAAAGTTCAAAAAAAGAAGGACACAACTGAGTGAGAGAAGGACCGAAAACAGCCACATATACCGTGTCTAGTGGAAGGACCAACTTACTTTTTTGTGTTGATTTTCAGCGTCATTTTTAGCTGCGAAGCCCGTCAGAAGCCGTGACAGTGCGAGCAATGAGCTTTCGCGGCCGCTACTTCTTTTACGACTCCTCCCCTTTGTTTTTCATCGCTATGACGGAGAACGAGGATGTGGCTTATGACTGCGAATCAGGCATTTCCCATTAGCGCTTTTTTCCTATTATCGGTAGGAAGGACGGCAATAACCAAAAACTTATTTTTCGGAGATGATAAAAAAAGAGTTATGGTGAAAGATAAATTTATTAGGTTGGCGAAAAAAATGAATTTGGACGTTTTCAGCGGTCTGTCACGGATGGATGTGTGTATGAAGTGTATGATACCATACGAAAGAGTAAATCAAGTAGAATATCGGATGATAAACTTTGTTTGTTCAAAGAGTATTTGATATCGAAATGGTGCAGGAAAGCAAAAAAGCCAGTTATTTGTCAAATTTCCAAAAAATCATGCTTCAAAAAACAAACTGAGTTTGGGTGTGAATTGCATGATTACGCATGCATACGACTTTTATTTATCTGTGTATTTATTTATTTATTTATTTATTTATTTATTTATTATTTATTTATTTATTAAATCGTAATGTGCCACCATACAAAGAAAATTATTACACTATTATAAGACATGACATTGAATACATTATGTAATATATAAAGAATCGTAACTCCAAAAAACATCAGATAGCGGGAAAGCGCGGTGCGATCCCGAAGCGCGCGGATGCAGTCTAGTACATTTAATTACAGGTTCACTAATACTAGGATAAAACTAGAATGCATTTGTTTGATTCTGCATTTCTTAAACTCTCGATAAATACCATAGATGGTCAAATTCAAGCTAATCAAATTGCCCCAAAACTGACTTCCACGCGCAGATACCTGGAAATTTTCACATTTTTGGCTACAGAAATACACAAACAGCAGATCAAACTCTCTATTTAAACCGCCACATAGCGGAAGATTGTATGTACTCGATTAAAAAATTACTCGTCTCTGCACTTACTACAAGCTGAGAGCGAAACTTGGAAATTCAATAAAGTGATTTTTGGAAAGCTAGACTTGTAAGGCCATAGCTGTCTTCCATCACACTTGTGAAGTCTATGTAATGAGTATGTGGTAGTACAAGCTTGAAACCACCCGCTCACAAAAAATCGTAGCTAAATAACAGTTACTTGAATTCTTCTTAAGCTTCGAAGTTGCATGTGAAAACGAAATTATTTATTAACTAACCTAATAATTTGCAGCGCGTAGAAAAAAACAGCGAAATATTTGCAATAACGTCAGTCTATTTCTTCTACTGCAAAAAACTGAAATATGAGTCGAAATATGATATAGTCAAAAAGAGAAATGCAGCAAAAGAGAGTCGAAAAAGATGGCAGATTTTAATCACGAATCCAATTATACAACACTGATATCATATGTATTTGAATAGACTTTGGCTGAAAAACGAGCTGTTGAGGTCTATGACAGACAACGGACAGTTTTAGGTTTTTAGATCTCATTCGCTTGCAAAATCAAAAAAGAATATTGCTTTTGATTTTGCAGGAGATGGAAAGGTATGACAGCTGTCACATATTGTTCTCCAATTTATGTTAGCAGCTCATTTTTTATTCATTTTTAATCCTCAAAACAAACAAATGTCAATCGAGATTTCAAACCTGATTCCTATCTATTCAACTGCTATATATGTAGCTTGGATTGTTTCTATCGGTAATACAGTAACCCATCTCAACGTCTCGAACTGAATCAAATGCTTTGAGGAATATAATATCGAAGTTTGTTTTGCGTAAAAAAGCTACTAATAATTCCTGCTTAACACAATATTCATCAGGCAAAAGTTTTGTCAATACTGGCCCAAAGCGCATGGCTCGAATTGCTACTTGATCCTCTTACAATCATGCCTATAGCACGTTCACTGTGAACGATATACGTGGTTACGGTATTGCACCATTGGGTTCAAGCGTTTTGCAGCTGGTTGAAATCAAAATTATAAAACAAGTTTCACACTTTAAGGAATAGGAAATCAGATCGTCTTGATTTACGGAGTAAAGTCCATTAAGCAACTAACAAATTTTGATGTCTCAATTTTCAAAGTGATGCATGTTTTGAGTATTGAAAAGAAATATTCTTAGAACAAATCATGTTAGAGTCAATGATTATCATAATCAGCAAACTTGGCGATCCGAACTCACTACAATATCATTATTTCAAAGAAGATTTTCAATATATGAAACTAAAAGTTTTTTAGAGTCTTCTGTGATACGATATCGCTCGTAGTTTGTGAAAAAAAAAGACGCACAGTCGCCCTATTCATGTGATATCACCGTGTAGCCATATATCGCTTCAGAGTGGACGAATTCCTAATCCAAGAGCACCATTGAAGAGCTTTCAGATTTTTGTTTACGGTAGGTTGCCCAGTGAGTGCAACGAATAAGCACAGAGTAGTCTACCGTAGGTAGAAACCTGAAACGATTAGTAGAATCTGGCCTCCTACTGTGTCTAAGCGGGCACTTCTATATATCAGAATACGCGCCGCACTGAGCTGAGGCTGAGTCGAATGGTGTTCTTGGATTAAGAATTCGTCTACTCTAAAACGAGATATGGCCACGCGACGGTGAGACCACAAGAATCCGGTGACTGCTCGTCATTCTTTCACAATTCCTGAGAGGTATGGCAAGCGCTCCAGAATTGTTACAGAAAATATGCAGTAAAAGCCATAAATGTCTTTTTGTGTTAATAAAGGCCTGCGCTTGTTGTTTTTCATGATCAAGTCACTCTCGCAATTTGAGCAAAGTTTTGCACATTTCATATGCAGGATTTTTATATGGCTTATGGATGAAGACAGTGACTGTTTATGTTTGCATAAGAATTCTTAAGCTGAGAAACATGTGGATTGCATGCTGCAACATGCATTCCGTGGCATGACTAAAAAGTGTAACTTCCAAGAAAAGTCCGCTTTGTGGATGCAGAACTCAGGCTTAGATAAGGAATGGGAGGGATTTTAACCCAAAGGGTTTTCATATCTGAAGGAGTGGATTCTTCGCAGGAACAAGTATCGAAGACAACAAAAGTGTATAGGAAAAAAGTGGGGAAAATGCTTCAAATTGGTTGAAAAAGTTGTGTTCAGGTCGTTCTTCAGCCTGAACAAATGATCAATAAATCTAAAAGATAAGTCAGGTAATATTGACACATCACTTCGGTTGGTACATCTCATGGAAACAACCATATGGCACGAAAAGCCACCAAGGGGCATTATAAATCAACTGCACTTACTAGAATAATGTCTGGTATTTGAAAATAATAAAATGAGCACAAATGACGCGTGAAAATGATGATTTACAACACTACATAACTAGCAATGTGCCTCGCATGACATGTTTTACTTTTTCCAGCAGGAAGCAGGCTTAACCCAGCTCAGAAAAAGATTAACGCTGCATGCTCATTGCTTTTTTCATGAACCAGGAGTCATGTTTGTTTAGCTATAGCACAGCGAAGATGCCCTTAAGCAGTCCTTTTTCGCGACGAGAACAAGTCAGATTTGTATATCTAAGCTGACGTCTATCGAGCCTCATTCTTGCTAGTTTTTTAAGCGCCATCTCGGGTAAAGGTAAATTATGTTTGCTATTAAGTTGCCCACTTTTTGACGCTTTTGTAAATCATACGCCTGACTGCATAAATAGCAGTGTACAGTATCTCTCTGTAGCCGACATCTTTCCCCGTACACACGGTAGCACCTGTCACACCCACAGATTGGCTTGGCGATCTCGGGTAAATTACGTTTGCTATGAACTTACCCACTTTCTGACAGCTTTTGTAAGTATATGATGCTTCACAAGTCAGGAGCTGGATCAGAATCATTGCTTGAAAAAATACAATACCACCCGTAATTCGTGAAAAAAATGGCGGCGGCACTTAACTCACGCGGCGCCGCCGCAGTTAGGTGACAAACGCCGCGTCGCGCGACAAAAGCCGGCGGAAAAGCGGCATTTGCCGCCTAACTTTGCCGCGCAACGCCTAACTTTTCTATAAAAAAAGACCTTATCTTGATCCAAAATTTATGAATTCTATATATAAGAGTACCATTCAACACAGCTCGGCGAGGCGCATCTTCCAGAATACAGATTCCTAGTTGTGGGATGTAAGTTTTTTTCCTGGAATTTTGGTGTAAATGGATCATTCAGTGTGCTGATTCCAGAGGCTACATACACATTCTGTTGTGCACTGCAGAAATAGGGCAGGTATAGTTTACGAGCTAATTCTGCATGGATATGTGTGAAACTGGGCTTTTCTCGGCGAAGTATGATGGGTCCCAAAATGCAGGAAGACAAAGGGAAATGGTTGAAAATCGCATGAGAAGCACATATCGCGGAATGCCGCGCGTGCTGTGCAATGTACAATACCACTCACAGAACGGAATTTCGCGAAATTCCAGAAATTTCGCGATTCCGGAATATCGCAAAATATGCAGCGCCATAACTTCCTTCGGAATAAATATATTCTGAATCCAAAAGTAGCATTGTGTTCAGCTCGTCAAGGCGAATCTTTCGACATACGTCATGTTATCTATATCTTGTTTCCAGTTTTCTCAAATTGTTCTGAGGAGGTCCCTTTGCAAGTATGTAACGCAGCGCCTATTTAACATGAAAGCTTCCACTAAGCAACATTCGATAGTGCTCTTCTTGTACATTATAGTGCGCTAGAAAGCTGTCGCAGACTTCTTTTCAAAAGAGAAAAAAGCGTTGGTAAATTCTGGAAAAATCACTCGTTTCCAGATTTTACTCTCCGTAGCTTTCTTTGGAGTAAATATTTTCTGAATCCGAAAAATGCATTGTGCTCAGCTCATCAAGGCAAATCTTTCGGTATGCAGAATGTCCTTGATTTTTCGATTCCAGTATTCTCAAAACTTTCTGCGGGCGTCTATTCGCAAAGGTGTGAAGCAGCGCGTGTTGCCCCCAGTAGATTCAGAAAGAAATTTCCGATAGTACTTCTTCTGTAGATTATGGG